CAATAACATATTTAATTGTACAATACAATCAATAGAATTGCATTTCTGGCAAAGCATTTTTACCCTCTTTACATACCAAAGGTAAACTGAAGTCTGACGTTCAGGGTTTAACAAAGAAATACAAAATGTGATGGCAGAAAAGAACCATCTAGTCTGACCAGTTTTCTAAATACTTTCATTAGTCCCTGGCCCTATCTGACATCTAGCGTAGCCTTATGCCTATCCCATGCATGCTTAAACTCCCTAATGGTGTTAACCTCTACCCCTCTATCTCTTCAGCTGAAAGGCTATTCCTTGCATCAACTACCCTCTCAGTAAAGTAATACTGATATTTTTAAACCTTTGCCCCTCTAATTTAAGACCACATCCTCTTTTTGTGGTAGTTTTTCTTCTTTTAAATATAGTCTCCTTCTTTACTGTGTTGATTCCCTTTATGTATTTAAATGTTTCTGTCATATTCCCCCTGTCTCATCTTTCCTCCAAGCTAAACATGTTAAAATGCTATTCCATGTATCCACTACCCTCTCAGTAAAGTAATACTGATATTTTTAAACCTTTGCCCCTCTAATTTAAGACTACGTCCTCTTTTTGTGGTAGTTTTTCTTCTTTTAAATATAGTCTCCTCCTTTACTGTGTTGATTCCCTTTATGTATTTAAATGTTTCTGTCATATCCCCCCGTCTTGTCTTTCCTCCAAGCTAAACATGTTAAAATCCTTCAATCTATTTTGGTCAGTTTTACCCTGCAATGCATGAACCAGTTTAGTAGCTCTTTTCTGAACTCTCTCTAAGTATCAAAATCCTTCTGGAGATAGGGTCTCCAGTACTGCGTACAATACTCCAAGTGAAGTCTCACCAGTGTTCTGTTCAATGGCACAAGCATTTTCCTCTTTCTACTGTGACTTTCCAACAATATGACAACTAGAAGGTAGATTGGAAATAAACTAAAAAAGTATTTTAGGACTAACTTTGTCTACACCCAAATGCATGTTTTTTAACCATTAATGGGAAAAGGTCAAATAGTTATTGTAAATGTATTATTATTATATTATTATTATATTAATATATCTCTATATATAGAGTGCAAACTTAATCAACTCTATATTAAGTGCCACTCAGCAATCCTATAATACTGTATATTAATTTCTTTATTGCCAACAAACCATCCATAAAAAAACAACACACACATATGTGAATATTACATAATCAAAAAATCCTAAGTGATAGGAAATAGAGAGTGGGAAAGAGAGGTATGGCTTAATTACTATGGAGTTACCTTCCATCACTGCAAGATAATTATCTTTTCTACTGCAGAGTTGATAAAATCTATGGAGCTTCAAGAAAAAGGAAATGTTCCCATAACTCCTCAAAAAAATAATAAAAAGAAATGTGTGAATAAACCGAGTACTAAAGCACATACTCTTTCTAATACATTCAATCAATATCAGGTTTGTGCAAAAAAAATCAATTCTTCTGAACCAATGTGGCAGAATTTGGTTTTTGGGCTGCTGTTTGTGTTGCATGCTATTTATGTTAGTTCATGTTGCTGTTCAGCTTTACCAACTTTTGCTAATGAAATGAAATTGATTAGGCCATTTAGGCAGTCCCCCCAAAAAATCAGGATACATGCTTTGAAACAATTTAACAATCAGGACTATAAATTGCAGATATTTTGATTAATTTTCTTTAGTTGCACTAGTTGTGTAGACATTGTTACATGTAAAACATTAAATAATAAGTTCACTTTTTCTGTATTTTTACATTTTTCATACCTAATGTTATATAAGACATTTGAAGAAAGCCCTGTCTTTCCTTAAAAAAACAACATATAATATAATAAAGAGAAAACACTAAATTACAGTGATCCTAATTGCATGAAACACTGGAAAAGTTTTGGTCATAAAGGTTTAATAATATCCATTATCATGGTTTGTGGTTTCATTTTTTTTCATAAAGACTATGATAAAAAACGTATTTGTTTCTATATAACTGTGAGAACACTTCCCTGCTGATATAAGTAAAACCATCTTCAAGCCCTAGAGGTTCATATTTCATTTCCTTATTGATTATTTAGTTTCTCAAATTGAGCTATTGGTTGCTTTAAAAAATGCATTATAATAAGACATCTGTTTTGATCCATTCCTTTTCAGAAATAACTCAAGCAAATCTTGTTTAAAAGAGCCAAGTTTGCTTATATGAATAAAAAATGTAAAATATCTCCTAACATTACAGTTGTAATGTAGGGCATGGGAAATGTTCTTGTACTGCTTGAATTAATACAATTGCATGTTTTAGATAATAAAATGTACATACATACTTTACTGTCACTTAAATGTATATTTTGGGACTCTTTGGTTCTTCATAATTCTAGCAGCTTTGTCATTTATCCTACCTTATTATAATTTGCATCTTGCACATGCACACATCTCCTTAATAATAAATACTAATTTAATAGGTGGTGGAAAAAAAGCTAGAATAGAAAAAAAGTATATAATTAAAAAGCAGTGCTGTTGACAAAGTAAGATGTCAATCTGTTATGAATGGTTTGACAACATACCTAGGTCCCGTCAGGCACCCATTACTTCCTTATCTGCTACCAGAAGCACCCTTCACGGAGTTAAGTTAGTTGTTGTGGTTATATTGCTTAGTGTGTTCTTTTAACCATGAGAATGATAAGAAATTAAAAGTAAACGCAAAGTGAATTTAAAATTTAGGGACAAAATATATTAAATTGAAGCATTTTGAGATGCCGTTGAGATAGCTCAGTGGGCTAATGAATCATCAGTAGAATTTGTTCAACCATTTCAAAATCGCAGCAAGGTTGACTCAGCCCTTCATCCTTTCAAGGTAGATAAAATGAGTACCATTAAATTTGGTAATAGTAACAACCCCTGGATGTTGGGATAATGTAACATACCCAGGATGTACTTGAAAACTAGAATAATTTGAATGTACCTTTCCAGGTTAAATACTTTGTTATTATTATTTTCTAATTTCACCTATTGTGGTCTAAAATTTAAAATTATTTTTGAATTCTTAACAATTCTCACTTTCATAAATTATCTGTTCTGTAAACATGACAATCACTCAGTATGAAATGATAAAGGACATACCATAAAAATGAAGGTAGGGTATAATTTAATATGTTTCTCTCCAATATTGCCCATTCCTCTGTGAAAATGTGCCAGCAACAAAGGAGGACAAGCAACTTATGGCATGTGAGTAAGTACATATGAATAGAATTATTGCTCACAAAACTCAGTGTGAATTTTCCAACTCATTGAAAGCTCATTGACAGATGGAAGTTGCTACCTTCATACATTTGACATGTTCAGCATAATGGAACATTCAAAGGAATCTGTGCATCCCTAATAGGTGCAGACTATGTTTCCCAAGACTCAATTGACACTTCTGGCAACTGACATGTGTTATAACTACATTGATCATTTTCTAATCTCACTGTGTGTTCATTTGCAAACACTTCCAAAGACATCATCATATATATGTATCAATGTCTAGCAGCCTGGGAAACCCAATATATTGCAATCTACCCAGATAATGTTCCAGTTGGTTATTCAGCCCTGGAAAATATTTAAATAGAGGGTCACCAGCCTAAAAAGGCCAGGCACCATTTATGCTTACTGCCTTACTCCTTTAGTACTCCTTTTTAGTGCCAAAAGATATCTAACACTCCATCCACTCTGTTCATTTGCAAAAGACTGTTGTGAGGCTGCAGCTCACAACCATTATATACTAGTGGCCTCTGAGGCAATGTTCCCTTGCCAGCCCTCTCATGCCCTGTAATATAAGCAGTGTTCAGTAAGATGTGTACAGTAAGATGTGTAGGAACTTTGTATGCTCTACAAAAATAGCAAGGGATCTGAGTTTCCATATATTTTCACTGCACTAGAAATGGTTTTAAATTGTTAGTTTGTGTTGCAATATGCAACCTCAGTCAACCTGTGCTAGTTTGTGGAACCTCCTAGCTAGGGCTAGTTGGACTTTATGACTTGACACACTTTTATTTTTCTCTGCTTTGAAGCCTTTTATTCCGAATTAGCCATGCAGAAATACATTTTGGTAAATATCACTTTGGTGTAAGTTTGATGTGACTAAAGAAAAAATATACACCATTTGAGATGAGAACTCAAAGTGTTGCCTTAAAAAGATGCAGGATGAAGGACACCCAACCTGCAGTCCAGTATTCCAAACAAATAAGTCATAAACTCTGTATTTATTTTATGCAAGAACATAAAAAATTTAATTATCAGAAATCATAACTGGAGTGCTGGACCATAATTTATTTGTTAAAATAAGTGATGTATACCTGTATATCTGTCAAAATTGTTTACTAAATAAAATGGATATAGACTCCTGGTAAGAAGTGAAGCCATTCTAAAATGGTTTGACTACTTGCTTTGGAGTTGGGTTCCAGGACACTCCTGGCATTATACGAACTATGGTGTGCTGAAGTGGTTATGATGCTCAGAGTGTTCCTTTAACCAGGCCTGTTATTTATGTTAGCAGTAGAAAGTGAGGATCTGTCTGTAGCTTTCTTACTTTTGTTGTTGGATATCTTGTCTTTTTGTTCAGGTATTTGTTGGTATGTTAACAGTATGAGAAAATAAGGGTTTGGCTGCAGTCACCTACACATGCTAAATTAGGGTGCTGCTGGGGGCCAATAAGTACAGTAAAAATGAAAATCCAGCGCACTCGCTTATCTACTAAACAGTCATTTTAATGCTGAACAATTTTCAGTTTTATTAAAAACACCTAATCTAGGCAAAAAAATAATGGGGGTTTAGTTACAGTATATGATCATACATTGCATAAGCCTGCCACAACGCCAATGTACCCTATCTTTGGCAGGTCCTACTCTGTCTGCTAAATGAGCTTCTCACTTGGGGAAATCCTTCTATCTCGAGGTCTCTGCAGTACAATGCTTAAATAGAATCCTGAGATGAGGCACCTGTAACAGGGAGGGGTGCAAAACCCATGGAGCTGGCTAGACTCCTAAATATATACATATATGAGAAAATATATGTAATAAACCCTTATTTTCTCATATATGTATATATTTAGGAGTCTAGCCAGTTCATTCTAGAACCACTATCAGAACAGGGGGATTTAATAGACAAGTAATGTGGAGAATATTTCTTGATCATACTTGTTTGGATGTCCCCTCATCTCCAGAAATTTGTGCACATGTTGAAGGGTTGTAATCCTTTCAAAATGTAATTACATTCTATAGAGTCAATGTTACAAACAACATTTGTTCCAAAATGTTTGGTTTAGAAATGCAATATGTGTGACAACTTTCACCCAGGAAGACATAATGTAAAAGCAAATAGTCAAATTTTCTTACCTTAAGGCAAGTTGGATAATACTTTTCTACAGTTTTTTTTTTATCTGTCAAACAATGCTGACTCTTATTTTGGTAACTACAAAAAGGTTGATTGAAAATCCAAACATAATTACATAATTAGGTGGAGTTTTAGGTTTAAGTGATTTTACATTTTAAATCTATATTTTCTCTTTAAATCAGGTTCTATACATGTTGAAAATAAATGTTTAGTAAGAAAATATAAACAAGGAGCTAGGGTGTTATCTTGACTACTCAGTGATTAAGAAATTCATGTTTAGCAATAGCAATAAACCTATACTAAAACTGAAACATAATTATGTGAAAACTGTATGGGACAGCCTAACAATCATTTGTTTTGATGCTAACTTAGATGAATTTGTATCCATGTGCCATCTGAAACTTTTCACTAAATATTGATTTGTAAAATGTATTTAAACAAAAATGTATATATTAATTTCTATAAACTTCATAGCCTGGGACAAGGCAATATAGACTTATCAATACCCATTTTATGTTGCATTTGAACAGCGCTATAGCACATTTAAAGTATATAATAGTAGTAGCACTTGCAAAGGCCAGTAAGATATTATCATGTATAAAAAATTGCATTAATTCTAATGATGAAAATATAAGTTTTCCTCTTTTTAAATCACTAATAAGACTACACCTTGAATATGTGGTGCAATTTGGGACACCTGTTATAATGGTACTAGAAAAAGTGCAGTGGCAGGCTAAAACATTGATAAAAGGAATCGAGCATTTTAGTTATGATGAAAGGTTAACAAATTGAAATATCTTGGGGGTGGAGCCAGACGCCATATCTAGTAGCTCCCGACACACTTTCACAATCTTGGCGATATCAGTGAAACTGGCATCCATCCAGCCTCACAAGCTAAATAGCCTGAACCAGCAAGGCAAGCTACATCGATAGATGAGTTTTTTCAATCCCAAAACCTGCCCAAACAGAAACACAAACCCAGGGCTTACCTCACGCCCTCGATCCGGGACATTAAGGAACTCCTGCTCTGACATCCAACTGAAAGAGGGGATCCTTCCATCCCCCTCACCGATCGAAACCCCAGCTCATATGTCGGCTTTGAGGCGCAGACCCCCCAAAACAATGACAGATGGCAGAGACATAGGCGTGAAGCTGCCGCAGCCCATGCCCACGCCCGCAGGAGACGAGCAGGATACAGACCAAGCTCCCAGCTCAGAGCAGGGGAGAATGGAGACCCCTCTGACCACAAGGGCAGCACAGCTGCAGCAGCCTGAGTCCTTGGATAACTCGGCTCGAACCACCATTGGAGACCTAAAACTCCTGCTAGCTGACATCCACAAGATATTGGCAGCCGACTCAGCTTCCTCAACACAGAAGTGCAGGCTTTCACTTTCACTGATGAAAGCCACGGAGGAAGACGTGGTGAAGGTCAAAACTTACCTAACCTCACTCGATAAAAAGGTACAACAAATCCAGCAACACCAGAAACTCATGACGCTTAAAATAGCAACCATCGAGGACCAGCAAAGATGCACGCACAATAAAATCAGGGGAATTCCCACCTCTATCTCAGCAGAGGAGTTGATGCACTACATCAGGTGCCTTCTGGCCACTATAATCCCCCACAAATTGCAATAGACGGATTCTACCGCCTCCTGACCTACACACGCCCAAAGTCCCCTGCGATCCAAGATGTAATTCTATGATGTGTCACAGTCCAAGACAAGCTCCATACCCTTTGAGGACTCAGCTTTACCTTTTATCAGGACTTGTCGAGGGCCAATCTGCTATCGGGTAAATCATATGGCCCAGCCACCACACAGCCACTCACAGCATGTATAGCCTACAGGTGGGGAGCAGGAGGCACCTTGAAAGTAACCCACGCAGGGACAACTCAAGTCCTCACCTCAATGGATGGAGCCACTACCTTCTTGGGAACCCTTGGACTGTCAAACCCAAGCACACCAAGGCAAGCAAAGACCCATGGAGAGAACTGGAACCCCGTGACCACCTCACCTTTAATCCCTGGAGCGAGTGGACTGCGGCCCTCGGTTCCATGAGCACTCACACTAAGCTCTGTCTGACCATGTCGGACTGCCTTCCCATTAGTTTGCATACTTTTACCGCTCCAATGAACTCAATGTTCTCTTTTGTTGCTTTTGCTTTTTATGTGTTTCTCCTTACAATCACTAATATACATTCATATTTAAGTTCCTATGGCACATTACTCAGACTGACACCAAGTCACACTCCTAGTTAACCAAACAGGCACAAGGCCCCAAGACCTTGACTATCTTGAGGAACAAACCAAACTGAGGTCCCCTCAACAGGCATCTAACTCACCGCCCCCTGCAGCCACTTGGTATGGGGTTCTCACCCTCAATGCAGAGGCAGAGCAGGGCACGCGAGCCAAAGACTAGAGTAGCCAACAGACTCTCACACCTGTCATGAACAAAATGATAACACTTCCTGTTTTTACCAGATACAGCATGGTTCAGACATGACTGTAGGCACACTAAACAAAGATAAATACCCTTATGAGAGCAGAATACCAGCCAGATACCCTGCAGTCACGGGACACCACAGTGCCCTAGATCTACCCTGCCTGCCCAGCATTTGCTCCACTACAACTAGCCTGTTACTAAGTAGATACAATTTTCCATCGCACAGGCTACATACCCGCACAAGCAAAATATTGATAAAACCAGAACACTCACACTTGACCAAAACCTATCGGCTCCAATGGGCCTACTTCACTATGTAGATATGACTAACCAAACTGTTTCCTGTTCCTGTTTTTCATTTGTGCCATACTAATGTTACAGCATGTATACAACATCTATGCTCGAGAATTCTGATATGGCATCACAGGCTTGTTTGAAAATATTTTGCACTACAAAGTCAAGAATTTAAAAAAAATATGTAAATCTCTTAAGTTTTTAGAAACCGAGAGAATATGATAGCATTATACAAATATATTTGGGGCCAATACAAACCATTGTCTGGAATTCTATTCATAAACAGGACTATACATAGAGCAGAAGATCACAAATTTAGACAGGAAGAAAAGAGATTTAGTCTAAGGCAAAGGAAAGGTTTTTATTTACATTAAGAACAATAAAGATGTGGAATTCTTTGCCTGAAGAGGTGATTTAATAAGAGTCTACAAAGATGTTTAAACAGCAATTGGATAAATACTTACAAAAACACAATATATACAGGGATATCATTTTTAATGAATGGGGTAATCACTTCTTGGTCCAAGGAAATATTTGACTGCCATTCTGGGGTCAAGAAGGTTTTTTTTCTTAGTTTGTTGCAAAATTGGAAGTGCTTCTAACTGGGTATTTTACTTTCTTTTGAATCAACAGCAAAAACAAATGTGAAAAGGCTTAACTTGATGGACGCATGTCTCTATTCAGGTATGTAACTGTATATCCAAATCTTAGAAGACCTGCCTGGAAAACTGTTTGGGAGAAATGCTGAATAATGGTTCTTTTGACAAAGCACACGGTGTGAGGTTTAATAAGACTACAGCCAAATTTGGCATGTTTTAGACAGATTGGGTTATTCTTGTTTGACAACTGGCACCTCCTCTTTAGCACCCCTTAATTAGAACAACGTGTATTTTGCTGTTTAAGAATAACAAGATGCTTTAGTATTTTTCAAGTTAATCTGGCCGAGGAAGGGTTAAAATGAGAGTGTAAGCAAAGTGAAATGCCAAAGAAAACAGATATAGTCTGTTGGATAAGAAAAGTGTAGCCTTGACCCCAAGGACTTGCAATCTTGTTTTACAAGTTTTCTATCACTGTCCTTGCTGCAGCACAAGCTAGCAAAATACATCACTCTGCGGAGATTCTCAACCCACAGGTTAATGCATAGAACAGAGATTCTGGACAGTATAACACAAAAGCTTAATTTGACACTAAACGCAGGTCACATCTAAAGCCAAGAATGTTTGCCCACAAGGGAAAATTATTCCTGGTCAAGTTGTGGTGTGTCAAACTATTATACTGTGTGAGAACATTCTGTGACCTTACTGATGAAATATGTCACCTCTACGAGATGTCCCTTGTTGTTCTAGTGAAGTTTTTGCCCGGACGTTGTACTGCAGACTGATTGAAATGCAGAGCTGGTGCTTTATCTAATTCATAACACATTAGCAGTAGTTGTCACCATTAATGATCATAGTAACTGACAGTTACAGCTATGGGCTTTGAAGGTGAAGATGAAATGTAGCTAGCAAGGATACATTTTAAATCCACTATGGAAATAATGAGACATTTCAAAACATAAAACTCTACATACCTCTAATTTACTTTTTTTTTACAATCTTGACTGTGAAAAATCTATTTAAGTCTTTCTTTTTTCTTCGATTGTTCACAGTATTCTACACAAGCCTTAAAATAAAAAATGTAAGACAGTTATAAAACAAGATGGGATGAGGACATTGCTTTCACAACTATACACTAACTTGAGCGTAAATTGAAATTCCTAAAATAGGCAATACAAAGGAAACTCTTTAAGTTCAGGTGTTTAAGTTCATTTCATAACCGAGTTATTGGAAAACATTTAACAGGCACTTCTCTGAAATTTACACCACTGAATAAGATACTGAAAATCATTTATACGTTGTGTTAAGCTTTTTTAGCATGAGTTGACACAATTTGTTTTACATTTATATTACAGATTTAGCAAATGACCCCATTAGCCTTCTCACTGATATTGCCACTCTCAT